GTATGTATCCATATATACATGTATACATACACATACACATGTATATATATATATATATATATATATTTATAATATACATACGTGTATATATATATGCGTGTATACGTACGTATATATATATATATTATACATGTATATATATTCATATATATATTTTATATATTGTATATACTATATATATATATATATATATACATATTATTATATACATACATATATATACACACACACACACATATATATGTATGTTTATATATATACATATATACATATATATATATGCATATATATATGTATATATATATATTCACGTATACATTCCAAGGTATCTTAGTAGCTATACATTTCGTTTATTGTTTATCCAGATGTGGAGTGTCAGGTCTAACTGCTGCGGCTACCCATGCTGCGCTGACTTCTGCTCGTCTGCCCCACAGACTCTCAAGTACCCTCCACGCGGGTCTCTGGGCAATGGGAATGTACTCGTCATCAGGGTAATCCTGTGGGTGAGTGTATGCATTTGAAAGTTGACTGTTAGCAATACTTCAGTTGAGAATGAAATATGAGAGAGAGAGAATGTAGGCTCCTATAAATTTCATGGACAGGACACGCGGGATATGCTCATCATCCGGATAAAACCGTGTGATCGAAGGATAACATATTCGCCCAACTCGAGTGTAGAGCTGAGGATATAAATAGCCGATTGTAAGACACCCAAAGCACACAGCCAGAAAGCATTGGCCTGTACGTGACAGCCCTCGCAATTGTAGCTGTACCTACGATTGGTTACCTATCTTAAAACAAATGTGCTAGTCCATCCCAATGAAACCATGGATAACAATACAGTGCTTGCGAGATCACCACACTTGTCTGTAACTACCACCATGTGTGCTCCAAGCCATGGGGCCCTTACCAGCATCTTAATGGTCGAGTACACGACCGACTGCGCCAGCCGACACATGGTCAGCAGAAACAGTAGTGACAGTTCGGTATCTTGCAGCGGAAACTGGGCGGTGTACCCCTGGATCAGACTGACCCCCGCAGACACGGGCTCGTCGGCTTCCTGTTTGTTGAAGTAATTGTGTGCTTAGTTTGGTGAACCGTTTAGATAGATTTGGGATGGGTTAGTTCGGTTGATTGTTTGATGAGATTGAGAAGTATATAGATATCGTACATATATATATATATATGTATATACTATATATGTATAAGCAAATATGTAATGTACATAGACTTGATATGTATCTATACATACATATCGTACGTATACTACAATTGAGATCTTGGTGGGGAAGATTGAGCTTCATCCATGTGCCTAACACATTTTGAGACTCGTTCGTACAGTCGTCCGCCGATAATCATACGCGAGGGCCATGCACTGTGTGCAAGTACAAGCACTGTGTGAGGCCACCCGCGGAGAAATGTACTATTATAACTAGTATAGCCTAGTATTACTAGTATAGCATAGTATAACTAGAATAACATGTGTAACCTAGTATACCAGTATAACATATATCACCTAATCTAACTAGTAGAATATGTGTAACATACTAGTATACCATGACCCTCTAGAAGAATAGAAGAAAAGACGAGTGAACGGACCAAAATCGGAAAAACAGTAGTCCGTCCGCTATTATAACATGAGAATAGATACTGTGTCAATCATTCTACTCACAGACACATACCACAATACTATACACGGCACTCATCTATGCGAATTACTACATGGACTTACAAGTACACAGTCACATACCACAATACTACACACAGTCACATACCAGGATACTGTAGGCGATGGTGATGGCCGGATTGAAGACAGTCTTAGTCAGGAGAACGTCACCAAAGTCAATCACCCCAACAATCTGTGGGGCAGCACACAAGCGAGTGGCAGGGTCAATGGGTAGCTTAAGGGACAGAGAGTGAGGTAAGGGTACGGTAGGGGATGTACCGAACAGACCACAGCACAATACAATCTGATGTGCATTGCATCTGAACACAAAACATTCCAACACACGTAGCGGTGACGTCAAGGCTATAAGAGGGGGGGGGGTAGAGAGGTGGGCATCCCGATAGGAGTAGTAAGTACACAACTCAGCAAGTGTGCAGATATGCATCACGCGTCTACACTGCCTGCACTTAAAGGAATGGGGGGAGGACTTAAGTACTCACTACAGGGGTGTGTGTGTACGATCTGTGAGTACACACGAATGCACACCCGCGGGAGCCAGAACACACATTTCTGTGTTCCAAGGTAGAGGTACACCTGACAGTACTGATGCCCACATGCATGTTCGTCTCATTTCACTCAAATATATACGAGACCACCCGCGGGTACTTTCCATGTATTATGTATGAATATCGGCCACCCGAGGAATACAATTCATCTTCTGATTTAATGTATATACTGTGCGTGTGGTTGTACTCAAACTCACCTCTTCACTGTCTACACTCACAATGACGTTGTGGTCGTTGGCGTCGTTGTGGATCACGCTACTCCGCAGGCTCTCCATCTGTGGCAAAACTCGCCCCTCAAACTCTTGTAAGCACTGCCCAGTGCCCACCAAAGCAAAACGTACATCCAGTTAGAAACGTATTGAGAATCTAGAACTTGCTGCCAAGCGCGGAATGTACTGCTCCGGTAGTGGGAACGGAGGCTGTCAGTGATAATGGGGAAATGTCACGCACACGCACTCAAACGTTTATATGCCATATATAAAGACCAGATGAATACACGCATATGTGCATTTGTATACATAGGCCTCTGGTGGTTGCTTGGTGATAGGTGGCTGTGTTCACACGCACCCCACAAAGAGGTGTGTGTTAGACGACACAGAGTCTTCGGGATAGACGCAGCCTATCGTTAGTCAGGATGCACTCTACTGGAGGATCCCAAAACAAGGATGAAAGTACGTGAACGAAGACAGGCACGTGCAGGCAGTAGACATGTATGCTGAACATGTACAACTATGTAAAATATACACTATGTACAACTATGTGAAATATACACCTTGTACAACTATGTCTAGTACTGTACACATTATACAGCGTGTGCAACTATGTAAAATATACACTATGTACAACTATGTAAATATACACTATGTACAACTATGTAAAATACACACTATGTATAACTATGTCTAGTACTGTACACATTATACAGCGTGTGCAACTATGTAAAATATACACTATGTACAACTATGTGAAATATACACCTTGTACAACTATGTCTAGTACTGTACACATTACATTAGCGTGTGCAACTATGGAAAATATACACTATGTACAACTATGTCTCATACTATAACATTATACAGCGTGGCAACGTATACGCATACACAGGTGCACAGACGGGCAAATGGATGAAGTACTAAATCATCAGCAAAGGTTCAAGCCGCACAACACTTGTTTGAGTCAAAGCGGTGACAGTAGGGCGGTGTTGGTTTTCTCGTCGAGTACATTCACAGCAGCACTAATCATGCCACCTTGACGCAACTGCGCAAAAGCGCTGCACTTCCTCGTGCAACATACACGCCTCCTGTACAATTTGCAGCTGTCAACATATGATCCTTGGAATACCCACTATGGATGAGTATTTATATTGTATATATGTAAACTGTATAGTGTTTATATATACATAACATACATACATACATACATATACATATATTGTATATATATATATATATAAACTGTGTAGTGTACAAATATACATAACATAGTCAGGCCAATCGCCATTGAGATCAAACAGACAGTGCCTGATTGTTCATCTATATGTATCTCCATCCCCGTGCAAACATGACACCTTTTCCAGAGCGTACATGAGAACAATCACTTACTATGATTGCAAACGAGCTTTAGCATACACACAACCCCAGGCAAACAACTCAGAAAACTATACCATACACCTCTGCTAATAGCATATTATCTGATCGCACTTTGACAAAACACACAGACTCAGAGTTTAGGCATCTCTACTCGACCGTACACTGAAACTACCAAAAACGAACAATAGCAAATATGAAAAATGACATTCGAAAATACTTAAGAGAACCCGGTTATATATATATATATATATATATATAAGTATGTGTGCGTATTATGCCAACC